TATTTTCTGATATGAAAAAATCACTTTTAATGATAATCGCAAAGCATACGATAAGTAGGTACACATACTTAAATCAAGTTTAAATCTGTACTCCTACAAGACTTTTTGAATCAAAGCTGTAATATCACTTATTGTAAAACTGATTGGATTAGAACAAAATATTAGCTAATAAATATGAGAAAATAAAAAAAATTAAATACATAAATTTAACGTCAAAAACCTCATAACAAATCATGATAAAAACTATGAAAAAAGATAGGAGAGTTTTTATCGTGAAAAATAATAAGAGCTACAACATCTTTCTATTTTATAAGAAAAAGGAGAAAATACTTCGTATATTTAACTAGACATGAGATATCTGTGAGATTTTGAAATGAATTGAACTGAGCTAAGGATGCCATCGACAGACTGTCCATCCTCGTGACAAGCTTTCCGCCTAATTTTACGCGTTTGACTTTCTGCCGCTTTGTTTTGTTTTGTGTTTCTATTTGGTGGGCCCCACGACCTTTTTTTTTCAAAGTACTGCCTGACTGCCGTGTATTTGATTCCTATTTAATGGTGCTACGTTATTGCTCCCTATCTTTCATACTCTCTCTGCTAACCCTCACCCCTCACCTTACTCTTGAGCCAACCCTTCTGATTGCTGCAATCTGACAGTCATACCGGCTTATAGTCACCATATAGAGGTACGTTTGCAATTGTTGCCACTGATTGCAAATAATTTTGCTGTTTACATGTTTAATATTAACTTGATTTGTTTATCTGTGCATTGCTATAATATTGAAATTAACAGTAAGAAGTTAGTCTTAGAAAACAGTTCTATTATGTGGGATTTATGTTATGTACTAACATCACCATATAGAGGTAACTCTTTTTTAATTTGCTTCTTTCTTGTCAAAGCTTTTGTGTTCAAATCATTCACTTTAGTTCTTTCTGTCTCTTTCAGTGCAAGATTATTGTTAAATTTTTCCATCACAACTAGTGTTTTTTCTTTCATCTTTTGCAAGTTCACTGACATTATGTGGTACATACTTTGACTCTGAAACAAAAAAACAAAAGACTTAGTTTCAAGATATTGATTAACAAACATGTTTTTTTTTTCTTTTTTTTTATCATGTTTATTAACCTAAAAGCTACAACCTTCATTCCTTTCTTTACACTGCAAACAATATATTCAACTCCTGAATATTGCTGAATACTGGTGCTTTCTATAGCTGCCATGTTCTTTGAGTCCAAGTCATCTTCTGGACAAGGATATGCGTATGATGTCTTTTTGAGAATAGAAGAAGATACTTGGAAGAATTTTACAGATTATCTTTATATTGTCTTAGCCCAAGCAGGAATTCATACATTTTACAGATAATGAACTTCCTCACAATCGTTTTTGCACTGCTCGAGTCCTTGAAGTCAAAATTTAATGGCTTGCATTGAATTATTGTTAGCCCTGTATGTTAGATGAAACTATTGAACAAGGGTCAGAAAAGAAGAATTCCATTGACTGACTACTAGATGTGAAAGTAAAAAAAAAAAGTATCAATCCGTTTGTTTATGTGAAATTACTGCTCAGCACACTCATATGTATTGTCTTTAAGGATCACTTGGCATGCATCCAATTCCTGCATTTCTAATTAGTAGTGCCTTATTTCTGTAGCTGCTATGACAGAGCCAGGATCTTCTCGATCTAGACCAAAAGGAGCCTATGATGTCTTTCTGAGTTTTAGAGGAAAAGATACTCGCAAGAATTTTACAGATCATCTATATACTGCCTTACTCCAGGCAGGAATCTACACTTTTCGAGATGATAATGAACTTACTAGGGGAGACGAAATCTCCAAACATCTCCTCGAGGCAATTCAAGAATCAAAGATATCGATAGTTGTCTTCTCAAAAGGCTATGCTTCTTCTAGATGGTGTCTTAACGAACTTGTAGAGATTCTTGAGTGCAAAAAAAGGAATACTGATCAGATTCTTCTTCCTATATTTTATGACATTAATCCTTCAGATGTTCGAGAACAGGTAGGCAGTTTTGCAAAAGCATTTGATAAACATGAAGAACGATTTAAAGAGAAGGCAAAGCAGTGGAGAGAAGCTCTTGAGGAGGCCGGAAATCTATCTGGATGGAATCTCAATGATATGGCAGATGGGTATGCTTCTTCTTTTTATAATCACTTGTAGGCATCAATATGAAGTTGTATATTATCAATCCAAGCCTTGTGAATTTATGTTGCACATTAGATTTGAATTACTCATTGAACAGTAAAAAATTTTGTTCACGACTTCTTTTATTCATGAACAGGCATGAGTCAAGATTTATCCAAAAGATCATCAAAGATGTGTTGAATAAATTGGATCCCATTGAATTAGATGTTGCTGTCTACCGTGGGGCAAGGAAGGGTCGCGGTCTTGTCATCGCTCCAAAAGAATACTCCACAAAGTATCGCTACTGAGTATTTTTGCAAATTGTTTGAACATGTAAGAGATTGCCTAGAAAACATGTTTGTGTCTAACTTGTCTTCCCGAATTAAGGTGGGAATGGCTTATTTGATTCGAATTTTCATGTTGTAATACTGGCGATGTGGATGCAACAGTTTCATGCTTTGGACATGGACAATGTATTTGAACCCAGCCATTATTGTAGTATTGAAACAGCGTTCATCCGTGTTTTGTAATATATGTTTTTGTTACTGCTCACTGTATGTATGGGTCATCATACATGAAATCGAGCAGGGTTGAAATGTTGTAGGCAATAATCTGATCATCAGTCAATATCATATGCTTTTGTGTGGCATTTACCGAGCCGGGAGCTGTGGTGCTGTGACTTGAAAGGCATTGAGCAGGTAAGAGAGCAATAACCTTGAATCCATGAGAGGAATGGATTATGCATTTGACATCCAATACGTTTGTTGTTTAGATGCTGATTCTTCTGTCCATTTGGGTCCATTTTTTTTCCCTCGATAAGAGAGAACAGTATCAACAGAAGTTACGGAAGAGGGATGAAGCCGATATGGATAAAGGTGAGAACGAAGTTCCAAATAAGTAACCCAGAACACCAGCAAATTGTGGGTAGCTATGATATATAGATTTAAGTGGTGCAATTCAGATACTTAATTTTTTCCTTGCGTCCTGGTATTTCAAGCGATGTGTATTATTCAGTACACATCTCAATAAAGAAGAAAACTGTGCTCCAAAGTATCAATATTAAAGTTAACGTAGATTTTTTTTGGGAATCAGTAATACATAGATTCTATATAGCACATGAGATTGAATCTACAGCCTGGAACTTGAAACAGTACAATATTTCAGTATACAATCTTAATGAAGAAGAAACCCATGCACCACAGTATCAATGTTGTAGTGGTGACCTTATCTGAGTAGAGACTTGATGGCCTTTCCTCTAAGAGTTGGTCGCATCTCTTCTCCAACGGCAGGCTACACAATCTGGGATTGGCTATATAGCTGAACTTGACAAAAGTGGCAAATTGTCCCTCCGAATGTTGATAACTGGTTCCTGATTTATTGCTAAGAATTTTTATTCCTTGCCCTATATTAATTCTTCTAAACCATTTTGACAGGAAAAAAGGATGCACATGGATGAGCTTTGCCAGCGGCAGAAACTTTCCTTGCAGAAGATAAAGTAACTGTCTCTCGCCCCCTCACCCTACAGTATCAAGTCAATAAAATGATCCCTTTTATCATTAACATTTTCCTTTTTCTCTGCCAGGGAATCTATCAGATCACTTGAAGATGAAGGTTTAATATACTCTACAATTTATGAATTTCACCACAAAGCAACCTGATGAAGTTCAAAGCCTTTAGGAATGCTACCATCTTGTGATGAAGGCTGTTGCCGGTTATTTCGTTCCTTCTTTTGTATCTTAACAGAACGGCCAGTAGATATTTATTTATTTCTATCTCAGACAACATCAAAGTTCACGGATCCGGACCTGTGCATTATCGCTAAACTATACATTCAATTTTGCATCATTTCCATTTGCTGTTTAGAATCCCAAATGATGTGCTGAGTCTGATTGATTTTTTAAAGCAAAGCAGAAAAAAGTTGCAGTTGTTGAGTGAGGAGTGGTCAAGGGATTTGGAGATTGTGAAAGTGAAGTGCATGCATGTAGATGTAGGCCCTCTATTTGTTGTTCGGGAAAGTTGGGAGTCTGTTTTCCTTATAAAGTAAAGCTCATATATACCATTTGAAGGCAAGCATCAGCATCGCTTTCACACAATTATACACTTTTTCTTCCTTTAAATAAAGGCATTAATTTGGGTCCTAAACATCTCCTAATTAAATTTCTTCCTAAACATAATTGAAATCTCATGTTAGCATATTAATGTGGCTGGATATAATTGTCTTCATATTATAAGAATGTACATATTCTGAATGTGAAAGATTGTGGCTTAGCTATCTGAAACATTACGCTTTTGTCTTTGCTTTTTTAGTGTGATTCCAAGAACTTGATACATTTAGATGGAAACGGCCCCGTAGTATGTGATCTTTAGAATGAAGTAAGAAATAAAGAATGTTGATTTTGTAAAACAAAGAAAGGAATTACTAGTTTGAGGTGAAGGGACGGTATCCATCATTGTTTCATCACAGCTGAAATTATTGAATAAATTCAAGAACAATTACTATGCTGAAAAGTAAGGAACAATTATTATGCTGTCATCGATGTTTTAAAGCAAAGCAGGGAACTACTAGTTGAGTGCAGAGGAGTTAAGGGATAAAGAGATGATGATGAGAGTACATTTAGAATCTCTAATAGCTTGAGTGTTTGGGACATTTTGGCATCTGTTTATCTATAAATAAACCAACGATTTATCTCTTGTTCTTCACAACTTAACCCTTTCAGCATTCAAGCCAATCATCGATCCCTCTCAAACCAACATAATCAAAAACCTCAAACACATCCTTTCTTTCTTTTACCCTTTTTCTTCTTTCTTGCTGTTTGTGCTTCCGTACACGCATTCCTTATCAACACTCACCGAAAAAAAAAATGGCTGAACGTGTACCGTTCAATATCGCGGAGGAAATAGTAAAGAAATTGGGTCCCTTAGCTGCCCAGGAGATTGCAATTTGGTGGGGACTCAAGGGTCAGCTAAGCAAGCTCAATAGCACGGTTACCAGAATTAAGGCTGTGCTCCTCGATGCTGAGGAGCGGGTGCAGAAACCACACCATCAACTTGAAGACTGGTTCGCAAAGCTGCAGTAAGCAGTGTATGATGCTGAAGATTTGCTTGATGATTTTTCAACTGACGAATTGCTGCAGAAACAATTAATGTCCCAGAAAAAAAAACGGAGGGAGGTACGTACTTTCTTTTCCGGATCAAACCGATTTGTGTATGGTTGTAAGATGGGTCATAAAGTTAAAGAACTTAGGGAGAGGCTAGATAGCATTTCGGAAGAGAGTGAAAAATTTCAGTTTGAGGTTCGTTCTGAGGAGAATGCTTCTTTGACTGTGGTTAGAGAGCAAACTACCTCCGCCGAACCTGAAACGATTTTTGGGAGAGATGACGACAAAAAGAAAGTTATAAGCTTTCTGTTGAATTCCAACTATGACAAGGAGAGTGTTTATGTGATCTCAATAGTTGGAATGGGAATGATGAGCAAGTTAAGTCACATTTTGGTATAAAACTCTGGGTGTCTGTCTCAGGTGTTTTAGATGTCAATAAGATTTGCAAAGATGTTGTCGGTAGAGATCTTGCTCGGTTAGAGGATCTGAAAAATGAGCTTCAAAAGAAAATTGAAAAAAACAAGTATCTTCTTGTGTTAGATGATGTGTGGGATGGTAAGAATGGTAAAGATGATGCTGAAAAATGGGATAGGTTGAAGGAGTTGTTACCACCTGATGTTATAGGAAGTAGGATTATAGTAACCACACGTTCTCATAAAATTGCAAAATTCACAAGCACAATAGCACATGAGTTAGAAGGTCTATCAGTAGATGAGTCATGGGGTCTTTTTAGAAAAAGGGCATTTCCTCAAGGTCAGGAGTCCGATCACGTAGATGAAAAAATTAGAAAAGAGATTGTAGGGAGGTGTTGTGGAGTTCCTTTGGTCATAAATTCAATTGCGAGTCTAATGTCTTTTAAAGATAGAGCCCAGTGGTTGTCCTTTATTGTAAATGAACTTCCGAATAGGATTAGAGATGATAACATCATACAGACCCTTAAGTTAAGCTACGATCCTCTTCCTTCATACATGAAGCATTGTTTTGCATACTGTAGCTTATTTCCAAAAGGTCATTTGATAGATGTAAAATCATTGATTCAATTTTGGAGTGCACAAGGGTTCGTTAGCTCTTCAATTTCAGGTGGTGGGAGTCTTGAAATTGCTGGTCTTAGATGCTTTGAGGATTTAGTGTGGAGGTCGTTCTTTCATGAAGTGGGAAAGGATGATCTAGGTAACATACAATGTTGCAAAATGCACGATTTTATGCTTGACCTTACAACCAAAGTCGCTGGTTTTGAGAGCATCAAGGTGGATTGTGGAGGAAATAGTACTAGTGATTTGACTCGACATGTGTCATTTGACATGGAATTGGATTTGTCACAACAAATTCCAATTCCTTTGATTAGAGCAAAACAATTAAGAACACTTATTTTGCTAGATAGATGGTCCCATAAGTGGAATGAGGGGCATGGGAGTCAATTTGTCGAGACTTTAGGCGTCTACGTGTGCTTGATTTGCATGACTTAGAAATTAAGGAAATGTCTCCTTCCATTGAAAAGTTAAAGCACCTTAAATATCTGGATTTTATGCTTATTGAGTGTCAGAACCTTAAAGCACCTTAAATGTCTCCTTCTCATAATTTGGTAATTGACTTGTTTCCTACTTATTTAATGTATAGATCAATTGGTTAGGCATGCTTTCCTTCTTTTACACATAATTTTTCTCCAAGTTTTATATCCAAATTTCTGGTATCAAACATGCGTGCTTTTTCTCTGACTCTGTTAGCACCACTTGTAGTCCTTAAACCGAATAGGAAATTGATGATTTCGATACACTGCTTTGGTATGTAAGTTTATCTTTGAAGGTAATATCAGTGCTTTAATGTTAAGTTTGATAATTTTCAATGCATCAGTTTCGAATATATATGACATCGCAAATTGGAACCTATTGTGTTATTTAAGGTTTTCATCGAATTTGGTCTGCTGCACATCATCCTGTTCCTCCAAATTCCTTTTTGATAGCTTCATTTGTGCTCCATTAGATTGATCCAGAGCATCTTTGTTTGGACTTTTGATACAGAATCATTGACCTACATTTTCTGGAGCTGCAATTTTTGCAGGGTGGATTCATGCCTCTCAGTCAACTCAGCTCGCCACTAAATACCACTCCTCCTGAAGAAGTAACTTCTCGTCTCTCCCATTTCTCTATTATTCTTTTTCAATCTTTATTACTTATTTTAGAACCTTTTTTAGTTTCCTAAAAACTTGGAAAATTAAGAAATGCAATTGAGAAAATCAATAGAAAACGTCTACCTGTCTTATTAGTCTTAGGATTTTCAGATTTCCATCTCTTCTCTGTTTGGTTGTTGGGAAAATGGAGAGGATGAGGAAACATCTTTATTGAAAAATATGAAGTCTAGACTATATTATCTTACTGTTACAGTTGCAGTGAAGAAGATAATCCAAGCTTTACATTCTGGTGATGAAAAGTCACATCTTGTCAGCAACAGTGTGGATGTTATCAGTGTAATTATTTTCAAATTCTTGCCATAGATAAATTTGGTTCTGTTTGTCTCAAACTGAAATTTATTGCTCTTTTTGGTGTCTGTTGAAATAAACGCAGTAATGGTTTTGCTTATTTTTACTGGAGTAGGTTATGGTCATCGATGGGATCCATGTTTGATAAGCTGAAAAGTTTATGGATGTAGCTCTCATTGTAGATGATCGAACAGGCCAGATCAATTGCAGAAGATTTTTCTGTGTCCTGACAACAACTGATAATGTGAATGATGGAACTGAAGGGCAAGTAACTTTGAACTCTGAAATCAGTCAGCTCAAGCCATAGCCATGCACGGTTAAAATGCAACAGGTGATATAATAAAAACTGAAGGCAGATTCATAGTATTGAGGCTACCAAGAGACTAACATTGTTTTCATGTAGGTCACAGGCTTCCCTAGGCAGTCTGAGACTATGAAGTGCTAATCCTGCTGTTACAAGAACTGGTTTTGAATCCTGTTGGAGTTTTAAAGCAAATTTGTATTTTAAGAACAAAAAGCAACAGAGATAGAAAGCAAGAATAGCATAAAATGTGTGCTGGAAAGTCATTTTTTATTGAACTGATCATGGGCTTAAATACAGAAAAAACTTCAACTAAAGGTCAGAAATTTAAGCAACTAAGACTGACACATTCACATGACTAACAAACTCCTAAAATATTGCTACTAACAGACTGATTCATCAAAGAAACTAAAAATAGCTAAAAGACATGACTAAGTCTTGTGGACCAATTCTGCAAGCAGCTGATGCAAACTTTAACACTCCTCCTTGCTTCAGCTTGTTGCAAATTTCGAGCTTTTCTCTTAGGAATTCAAACTTGCTTGTTGGTAAAGCTTTGGTGAATATGTCCGCATAGCTGAAAATCAGTCTTGCAGTAGTTCAAGCTAACCGATCCTTCTTTTTGCACATCTCCGAGAAAGAATAATTTGATGTTGAAGTGCTTTGTTTTCCCATGGAAAACAGGATTCTTTGAGATGGCAATTGCAGCTTTGTTATCCACAAACACCTCTCGTGCTCTCTTCTTGCTTCAAATTCAAATCAATTAGCACCTTTCTAAGCCATAAGGCTTGATTTGCAACATGTATGCTGCTGCAATAAACTCGCTTCAGCGATTGATTGTGCAACAATCTCTTGCTTCTTGGAACACCATGAGAATACACCCGAGCCAAGATTAAAACAAGTAACCGAAGTACTCTTCATGTCATCTCGAACCTCCCCAATCACTCGTCGAATATCCCCGCAAAGACACACTTCGACTCCGCACGTAACTTTACTCCAAAATCCAAGTGTTCCCTTAACATATCTCATAACTCTTTTAGCTACCGTAAGATGAGTCTCAGTTGCACAATTACAAAATCTGGACAATACACTTACAACATGCAAAATATCGAGTCCGGTTGCTCGTCGGATACATGAGACAACCAACCATACTTCGTAAAGAGTTTCATCCACTCTTTCGACTTCATCATTTATGCCCAGCCTTCTCCTTTTGACACATTGGAGTAGCTGTTTCCCCGCAATTTTCCATTCTAAATTTCTTCGAACCTCCTTGCGTATTTCTTCCGACGTACAAAGATCTCATTCTCGCTTTTGCTTGATCTCGATTCCCGTAAAGTAAGCCATCTCTCCCAAGTTTGTCATCTCAAATGTTCTTTGCATATCTTGTTTGAATTCTTCAACAAGATCGACATTGCTTCCGTAACCAGCAAGTCATCAACATACAAAGAAACAATCACAAAATTGATTTCATCACCTTTGATGTAGAGGGTAGCTTCACTAAGGCTTTTTTTGAAACCCAACTCCATCAAATGCTCATCAATTCTGCCGTACTGGGCTCGGGTGCCTCGCTTCAGCTCGTACAAAGCTTTCTTAAGTAGGTACACTTCATCTTCACGCCCTTTGATTGCAAATCCATCGGGTTGCTCAACATAAATCTCCTCCTCAAGCAAGCCATTTAAGAATGCAGATTTGACATCCAATTGGTACACCTTCCAACCTTTTTGTGCAGCTATAGCAAGTAACAACTCGATTGTATCCAGCCTAGCAACAGGAGCAAATGTGTCGGAGAAATCGATACCAAAAATTTGAGCATACCCCTTTACAACAAGCCCGGCTTTATGCTTGTTTATGGAGCCATCCGCATTTAGTTTTGTTCCGAACACCCATTTTACTCCTATCACTTTTCTCGTCTTTAAGCCTCTTTACAAGCTTCCATGTTTGGTTCTTTTCAATCATGCTGAATTCTTCCTTCATTACCGCAACCCACTTTGAATCCTTCTCGCCTTCCCAATAATTTGCGGGTTCAAGTATCGCCACATTGCATCTCCGATAACTATCGAAAGCGATCTAGTGCCCTTTATCGGTTCATCATCCACCAACTCTTCTTCATTGAGCCGAGGCTTGGGAATTTGAGCTGGTTGTGTTCCTTCCAGTGCCACTTGTTATTCTCCATGAAATGCACATCTCTCGCTTATCATAATTTTCCTTGTTTGAGGTTGGAAAATTCGTAAGCTTTAGAGAATGTGCTCGTATCCCACAAAATTCCGAACTTCCGCCTTTCTATCTAGCTTATCTCTTTTGATCTATGGCACATAAGTAAAGCACAAACATCCAAATACTTTGAGGTTTTTTAGAGAAGGTTTATAACCATACCAAGCCTCAAAAGGAGTCTTTCCATCTACGACTTTGGTGGGCGACTGTTCGGTAGAAAAACAAGCAGTATTTACAGACCTCTGCCTAGTACTCCTTTGGCAAATCTTTTTCATGAAGCAAGCATCTTGCCATCTCCATTATGGTACGATTCTTCCTCTCACCGACTCCATTTTGTCGTGGAGTGTATGGAGCCGTGAGTTGGTGCTCAATTCCCGCTTCTTCACAAAACAAATTGAACTGTTCGGATGTGTATTCCTTCCCATTGTCGGACCTCAAGGCTTGAATTTTGCAGCCACTTTGAGTTTCAATCCACTCGCTTGAATTTCCAAAACACATATGCAACCTCGACTTGAACTTGAGAAAATAAATCCAACACATCCCGCTGAAATCATCAATGAAGATTATGTAGTACTTACACCCATTGAGAGAAGAAGTTCTTTGAGGTCCAGCCAGTCCGTGTGGATTAATCGAAGCTTTTTAATAGCCCTCCAAGTTGCTTCCTTAAAAGGAAGCCTTGCTTGCTTACCAAACTTGCAAGCTTTGCAATCTAGTATGTTTGCTTCAAGTTAAGGTAGCCCTCGAACCAATTCTTTTTTATGCAAATTCATAACAACTCGCATGATTGAAGTGACCCGACCTCTTGTGCCATATCTCTCGTAGTGATTTTTATTGCAGAGAAGGCCGCTTGTTCCTCCTCCAATGGATCTAATGCAAAGCTTTTTCCCTTCATTTTCACTTTGAACACCTCCTCATCTTTTGAGTCTTTGATCAAGCATTGGTTGCCCTCAAAGATCACCTTGAATCCTCTTTCAAGCAACTGGCCAACACTCAACAAATTTTGATCGATATTAGGTACAAATAACACATCTTTGATAAGCTTTGTACCCGAAATACTTTTAATTGCCACCGTGCCTTTTCCCTTAACTCGCAATGTACTCTCCATTGCCAATTTTGACTTTGGAAGTTACCGATGTGTCTAGCTCCTTGAAGAGTTCTCGATCAAATGTCATGTGGTTTGTGCAACCACCGTCAACAAGCCACTTGTCACTTGTACAACTTGTTACAAAACAGGATGCAACAAAGAGTCGCTCCTCCTCTTCTTCTTTATCTACAACTTGTGCAACATTCTTCCGTTGAAAGTTAACTTGAGTCACATTTCTTTGTTGTGGATTGCTCTTACAAATTTTCCGATGATGTCCCATCTTCCGACATTTCTCACATTCGTCGGTCCGGTTTTCTCCAAGCATTTGAAGGGTGGATGACCCTTCCTTTCACAATACTTGCAAGGAGGAAAGTCGGACTTAGTTCCCTTACCGATATTTGGAGAATCGAACTTGAACCTTCCTTTTTCTTCTTCTTTCCTTTTTTCCCCGGTTTGGCCGCACCTTTGCCGGCAAAGCTCCTTCAACGTACCCTTCATTCCTTATGATCCTTCTCTACTCTTGTGCCTACAAAGCATATATCAATTCCGCCAAGCCAATTCTTGACGGATCCTTAGCATTCTCCAAGGAAGAAATGGTAGCCTCAAATCTTTCAGGTATAGTAACAAGAATTTTTTGCACAATTCTTGTGTCGAAAATTCAGAACCAAGTAACCATACCTTGTTCACAATGCTAAGTAGCCTATTTGAATACTCTTTGATAGTTTCGACTCCTTCATCTTCCGCATTTCAAACTCTCTCACTGCATTCATCACTTGCATCCCTTTGATCTTCTCATTTCCTTCATACTCCTCCTTGAGAAAATTCCAGATTTCAAAGGCTGATTTCGCAGTCATAATCCTAGTGAAGATTGCGGATGAGACAACAAGCAAACAAACAGGCCTTTGCCTTAGACTTTCTTGCCTTCCTCTCCTTGTGACTTTTGATCCGAGCTACTCGTTGGATTGTTTGGTAATGGAAGAACTTCGTAGTCTTCCTCAACAGACCTCCCAAAGATCATTTGCATCCGTGTAAGCCTCCATTCTTATAGCCCAAACTCGATAATTTTCACCATTGAACACAGGTGGTGCAATGGCGATAAATCAAGTTTCTAAACTAGTTTGTCCAAGCATCCATAGCTTTTGGTGGGTTCACACACAAATTCCTCACAAGTCCCTCAAGAAGAAAAGCTCGATACCACTTTGTTGGAGTTTTAAAGCAAATTTGTATTTTAAGAACAAAAAGCAACAGAGATAGAAAGCAAGAATAGCATAAAATGTGTGCTGGAAAGTCATTTTTTATTGAACTGATCATGGGCTTAAATACAGAAAAAACTTCAACTGAAGGTCAGAAATTTAAGCAACTAAGACTGACACATTCACATGATTAACAAACTCCTAAAATATTGCCACTAACAACTGATGCATCAATGAAATAGTCAAAGAAACTAAAAATAGCTAAAAGACATGACTAAGTCTTGTGGACCAATTCTGCAATAGCTGATGCAAACTTTAACAAATCCCGATGGCACCCAAAGTATATTGAATCGAGTATACTTTATCCGGTCGAAAACCATTGTTAGAAAAATAACCCATATTAAGACTATGGACCTTAGCATCTTTCATATCGGAATTAGAGCCCCAAATGAACTTTTTCAGCTATTTAGAATTTGCTTGGACAATCACTTTGTTGTCGCCATGTTTATACCATCTCGACCATCGTGGCATCACTTTCTTTGAGAAAAAGGTTCTTTCACAACAACCTTCTCTTTGATACTTGCGCAAACTTTGATATCGTGGGGTGGATATGTCTAGTTTTGAAATATGATTGCTTGACAAACATTTTTGTATGCAAGTTTTTTTATTAGAAACGGATCCGAAGCATGTTATGATACATTAATAAAGTTAGTTGATTTCAATGTCCTTCGTCGCTGGATGTGGTTAACTCTCTCTTTTTCTTTCTCCAGTTCTCTCGTGCAATTTAGTGTTCACAGATCGAAGGATTGCCATGAAGTGACCCTCGACCATCCGCAACGGTCTTCAAGCATACGAGCTTTATTGACATTAGGATTTTCCCGTTTGCCCATGCATTTTCGTTGTGATTTTCCTTCTCCACATACTTCGACCGGTTCTCCTAGACCTTTCTATTACTCCGCCTTCTTTACTCGATTTTCCCGGATCTTGATAGCAGGGAAGAAGGCATGCGCATGCATGAACTTTGCGAACGACCAAAACTCCCCATAGAGAACAAGTAATCTATTGCCTCCACCCCCAACCCCTTCCCCTCCGGCTCTCGCACGCATCAAGTCAAGTAATTCTGTTACATATGTTATCTTCATTTGTCTTCGGCGAGAGAATCAATTAAATCACTTGAAGGTGAAGGACTCGATGTACATGATAAGACATGAACTTCACTATGAAGTAACCCGATGAAGTTTACGGTCTACGTAAACATTCCCGGGCTATGATTTGGTTCCATGGCTCATTATATGACAAATGCAGTTGGTTTTGATTATTGTTCTTCTTATTCGAGTCTTAACAAAACAACTTGTAGATACTTGTTGGTCTAAAACTCCTACATTGTTCAAGTGCAAGGATCCGTACTTTTATACTTGTACATTCCGACATGATCTCCGAGAATGTTAATATAAACTCGCCATTCATGACTTGTTCCTCATTTTTTGTTAAGTCATGAATCAATAAAAGAAGCAACATATTTTCCCCTTCGGGTTTGATCCTTGCGTGATTTACTTTTTGGTATTTCTAATAAACCCATCAAATTATTTGTCGACCCCGAATCAAAAACTACTCACTCACCGATCTTCTTTGTTTTGATCCTTCCTTACTTTCCGATATTTCTAGTCCGAGAAGAGAATTCCGTTTGTGTTCACAATGAAGGAGAAAGTCAATTAAACCGTCCCGTAAAGAAGCCTCAGCAAAAAAGCTTTTAGATAGTTCAATTGAGAAGTTCAAGTAATCTCTCTCCCCTCCTACAAGGTATCTAGTAGATGAGATCACTTGATGAATGCTAGCCGTTGGTGATTGATTTTCTTTTATTTCAGACCTCGGCGATGTCTTCGTGACTCGGGGACATCCAATAATGCATCCACCTTTTTGGCCTCCCGCCGTGCGTCCCGCATGGAATTTAGAGGAGGATGATAGAGACTCGGTTTCGGCCACTCGGGTTAATAAGGTCATAGTGAACATCCATGACACCGCAATTGGAGATGAAAATCCCGCCAAGCAATGGCGGTAGGGTAAACAATACAGAGTTCCCCGAGACATGATAGAGTTATCCAGTAACAACTCTAAATATCTCCAACAAACACAGAGGAGTGAGAGGACGACTTAGAGTAAGATGGACGAGAGGAGTAGGTTTGAAATGGCCTCCGTGGCCGATGACTCGATGAACTCGAGGCCGGATCCGGAACAACAACTTATTCTTCTAGGCTAGACTTGCTACGGCAATCCAATATGTCGGGATCCAAAACAAACAAGACTACTTATGCTAGAGCATTCAATCAAGAACATAGAAACAAGGTTAATTGTCCGATTTCTTGGTCATGAAAACTTCAAGGTGCATCATTTACTTTTTGTACATTTTCTTTGCCATTGAAATTAGAAGTGGAGTACAAATGCCACTCGTCATTTTATCTTGTTAGCAGACTACCACTTTCTTTTAGGGTTGCCACTCTGAATTTTTTCGCAGTTTAAATCCATCACTAATTAATTACTTCGCCATATGTTAGCAATTGCTCCTAATGTTTCCCATCCATCGGTAGGCTATTATGTTTTTGTATGCCATAGTTGTATATTTCTTCTAAACTATACCTCGTATGTTGTCGCGGGGCAACATCGGATGCATGAGGTGAAATGTAGGGCAAATGATTGGAGGTCACCATCTAGTATTACGGTTACTAGGAAACCTCATGACTCGGTCTATTCGTAGTTTCGGGTAAGGGGTTTATTATGTGTAAGGAAGACCAAAAGTCACCCTACCCCGTCTTACCTAAGGCAAGCCGCATTGCATACAACCTTAATTTGACTTCTAATGAAAGTGCCCCCTTTGTCAAGTGATTCGGGACTTGGTAGTCGAAGACCTTGTCCTCACTCCGTAATGAATGGCTAAAAATGATGAACATGGAGATATGCTCGCTAGTGCGGCTCAAACGACACGCATGGAAAGCAGAACTTAAAATGGGCAAATAGGCAAGCAAATAAGACGAGTAAAATGACAGAATATGCAACACATATAGAAATAGAAAAATTGGCAAATAGGCTAAAATTGATAAATACGCAAATTGACAAAATCAGAAAGAGGCAAATAGACAATTAGGCAAAAATCGACAAATAGGCAAAATAGGCAATCATGGGCGTAAATAGGCAAACTTAGGCAAAATAGACAATCATAGGCAAAATAGGCAAACTTAGGCAATCATGGGCAAAAGTCGACAATTTAGGCAAAAGTAAACAAAAATCGAGAACTTTGGAAAAAAAATAGGCTAAAGTCGGCGATGAAATCAAAAATCGACGGCTTTAGGCAAAAGTAGGCTAAAATCGGCAACAAAAAATGAAAGCCACGAACTTTGGCTAAAATCGACAATGAAATCGTAAATTGGCGGCTTTAGGCAAAAATAGGTTAAAAATGAATAAAACGAACCCACATAGGTAAAAATTGACGAGAACCGACAATAGGACCAAAAACGTAAAAATCGACGAAATTAATCACTTTGGCGTATATAATCAATCATTTTTGACGAAAACAGAATTACATAACATTTCAAGCTTACTTGGTTCGGTGTGTGTTTTTATATATTAAAAACAAAATTACCATATAAGATGCACTTTTGAAATATGCGTTCGACTAACAATAAATATCTACACGTTCAAACCGACACCTCATTCGTCATCATGCCACCTAGAATAAAATAAAATAAATGCACATCATCTCAATTCAAGCAAGTTACACACGAATAAATAGGTCAAAAATAATCACATCACATTCATTCAATTAATTACATGACGCATATTAATTATAAAGCAAATTTAATACATGTTAAATAAATAAAGTAAAAAGAAAGTGGGAAAAAAATATTATTGTAAAGAAAAATGAGCTAGGTCGATTCTCTCGACGGTCTCGAAGTCGATCCGACCTTTTCAACCCCGATGGAGATCGGTATTTAGTCAACCGGGAGGAAAGGTGGATGGAGCAGCCGACCGCCGGCGCAGGCAGCGCGCGCACCGGCGAGGCACAAGCGAGCGCCGGCGAGGCGCAAGCGGGCGCGCGCGCACCGGCGAGGTGTAAGAGGCGTGGGCAAGCGGAGGCGCGCGCCGGTGAAGCGCAGGAGGGTGCGGGCGCGTGCCGGTGAGGTGCAAGTTGGCGCGCACACACCGGCAAGGCGTAGGAGGCGTGGGCGGCGCAGCGCGTGCCGGCGAGGTGCCGGCGGACGCGCCGGAGGCGCCGCCGTGTGCCGAAACGCCCGATGTGCCGGAGTGGGCTTGGCGTGCTTGGTGGTTGGCCCGGTGAGGGGGGCCGGCGGCTAAGTGTTTTTTGAGGGTGATGAACAATAGCTGGTGTTTTTTGAAGGAAGGGGGTGTTTTTATACTAGGTATTTTTTTAGGATTTTTTGGCTAAAGGTCTTTTTGGTCCCTCACTTTACAAACTCCCTTTATTTTGGCTCCTTTCTCCTTTCTTTTTCAATTGCCCCCCCCCCCCCCCCCCCCCAACAATTGCATCTTGTTTTTCTTTCCTTTATTTTTCGTTTCCTTTTTCCTTTTTTTCTTTTTTTTGGACCCAAAATTGGGTGTTAACACTCGTTGCTGGGAGAGGCTATATAAATGAACTTTCGTGTTTATTTTTTATTTTTTATTTTTTATTTTTTCAGAACTTGTATTCAGCTCCAGTCTTGCATTTTTCCGAGTACTAGATCAATCTTTCTTCACAACTTTTGTGTTTTTTTTTTCTTTTTAATCAATGTCATCTTAAGTGAACTTTGACATCATCGGTTCTTGTTTGCAGGGGACAAGGAAAAGAGATGCACAGGGATGAACTTTGCCAGCTCCTGTGTCCAAGTACTTCGTGCGTAACCAAGATGGTGTATCTGTGGGCCCCTTCATGGCCTTGGAAATATGCTGGAGGCGTACAACCAAACTATTGTAGTCATTGGAAATATGCTGGAGGCATACAAAGGTTTTCAGAACCTGAAACAGCTGGTTGATGTTGGTGGTGGCCTGGGACACACTATAAAGGCAGTAACCTCCAAGTATCCCCAAATTAAGGGTATCAATTTCGACTTGCCACATGTTATACAGCATGCAACAGCCTATCCTGGTATGTTTTCTTCTTCCTCTCCTTGTACGTAATTTATGGGATGTTAAATTTTATTCTCTCGTTAAACTAATACTTGGAACGAATTAAGTTGGAAACTTGGAAGAATTAGTTAGGAGAGCCTGAGAAGAGCAGAAGATGCTCTGTTTTAACCAATCTGCCTGAAACTTCGAACCTAAAATCTAAAACTTGAGTAGCCACAGATGTGATTTACTCGTAGAAAAAGTTTGTAGTAAGTGCAAACAAAAGAAAAAGAAAAGAAGTTTGCAAACCATCACAGGCATTACAGGACAAGAGAAAGGCCTACTAATAGAAGTGGTACTGTGTTACAAAACAAATCAAACAAGAAGATAAAAGAGAATAACAATAAACAGTTATATAATACAAGATTTACGTCTTTCAAGTGTGTCTATGTCATGGCTACACTGGAAGTTATAACTAGGTTTTTTAATGGACTACCAATGCAAGAGATAATATACATATTTATAGTATGGACAACTAGGTATATTGAAAACTCTACAAACTTATACACCTGAACCAATATACATAACCCAATACATTGTGGCCCAAATATAGCGAGATTGTCGTGGTAACTCTGCGTATAACATTCTAAATTGCTGAACACAATTTAACAGTGTTAGTTTCTAATGAAGGCGTGGAACACGTGGGAGGAGATATGTTTGAAAGTGTTCCAAAAGGAGATGCCATTTTTATGAAGGTACCAAAATTCTGGCGGCATATAATCTTGTCGCTCGATTTTATACACCAAAATCACTAATGACGACTAGTTAATTAAGGATACTTTTGCAGTGGATACTTCATGATTGGAGTGATGATCACTGCTTGAAGTTGTTGAAGAACTGCTATGAAGCTATTCCAGATGATGGGAAGGTGATTGTTATGGAATCAGTTCTTTCAATCACGGCCCGGACAAGTCATGCTGCGAAAGCGACCTCGCAACTTGATTTACTGATGATGACTCAAAGCCCAGGAGGGAAAGAACGGACCGAACATGAATTCATGGCCTTGGCCACTGGAGCTGGATTCCGTGGTATCAAATATGAAACCTTGTTTGTAATTTTTGGGTAATGGAGTTCTTCAAGTAGACAATTGCTTATAAATTGCATTTGAAATTAGAGAATATGTCCTCAGTTTCTATCAGACTCGAAGCTTTCATTGCCGCGCTTGTGGATCGAAATTTATGAACTAATTAAATGAAATAGTTGTTCATCAGTCTTTTGCATTCCCCAAGTGGCAATTCGATGAGAAGCTACATGCTTTACTAATGCATATTGTATTTTTGTTGCAACAATGCATTCTTAACCTTGTACCAACATAAATAATAATCCTATTAATGATGTTAGTTCTTATCTGGTAGGGTTATTGCATAAATATATGACAGTAGATTCATAGATTTAAACAGCTGTGTACTGTTATTCGAAGTTATATAACGGCTTTGATCATTATTTTATTATTGTTGTAAGTTGTGATCCACAATCATGACTATCAACCGTCTTCCCGATTCAAAACTATGAGTAGATTCAATCTCAAACTCTATCAGTTTCCTTTGTTTAGCTGATAAGATTAACTGCTTTGTACAATCAAATATCATTTTACAACATATAAATACAATATTATAATTAATGAATAAATAACACCATGTTTTATAATCTCTGGTCTTTTATATACCCTGGAAAGACTACCTCGTTAAGTAACGTTTGTCTTTACATCAATTGTTTGTAATAAATGTCCATATTTTCCTCTCTATCTATCAAGTTTAAGGAACTAATCTAAAAATTAATATTTGAGACTGTGGTCTAACAAAAAAGTTACTGTAATATACAAAATTATATCTTTTTTACCAATTTTTTCTACGAATTTTATCAAAGTCCTAAAGTACAATAATTCTAGATCAACATTATTCTACCAATAAATCTGTTGGTCTTCTTATGTTAAA